CTGCTGCTGTCACCACTACTGTTGGCGCTGTCGCCGCCCGCAGCAGCGATGCGGCCCATGACGGCAGCGACGGCGGCCGAGCCCGTGCTGCTGCCCATGAGCCGCCCCCTGTTCTGCAGCAGCACGGCCTCAAGCTGCTTCACGTGCTCCCGCGCCGCCTGCAGCTGCCTGCGAAGGCCCTCAACCTTCTCCTGCTGGTCCTGGATCACGGTGCGTGCCTGCCGCAGCGACGTCACATCGTGGCGGGCCGGTGTGCCAGTGGTCGCTGCTGCTGCTGCTGCTGTTGATGCTGCTGCTGCTGCTGCTGTTGATGCTGCTGACGTGGATGGTGTGACCGCCCTGCTGCTGTCGGGGTGCGCGCCTGGCACGGGTGATGCCCGCAACGACGTGGCCACGGACGGGGGCGGCGGCGCCGGCGATGCTGGGGCCGTGCTGCACGCAGAGCCGGGCGGCAGGTGCTTGCTGCGCTTCCCTTGGCTGAGGAACGCTATTTGGGCCTCGAGGGCCTTGTTGTTCTGCTGCAGCGCCTTGATGCGGCGCTTGAGCCGGTGCACCGTCTGCGGCGTGTGCTGCTGCTGCTGCTGCTGTTGTTGTTGTTGGTAGTGTGTGAGGCGCTGTTGCAGTGCTGCACACTGCGAGCAGCCCCTTGTCGACGGTTGCTGGTGTTGTTGGTGCGACCATTCACTCCAGATGGCGGTGTGGCTGCCACTCATGTTGGTGGGTGTGTCAGCTGAAGAGGGATCTTCGTCTCCAGCTCGCGAGGGCAGGGACAGCGGCACAAGTGCCCTTGGTGGTGATGGATGCAGTGATGTAGTCTCTGTGGTGGGAGAGGTACTGAGGGTGAGCGGCTTGAAGGAGGTGGGTGCCACATTGTTGGCTGCACCATTACTGGCTGTACCGTTGCTGGTAAACAACGAATCGTCCAAGGCGCCGAAGTCGATGTCATCAAAGCTGACGGACGTGGCATCTTGCTGCGCATCTTGTGCAGTGGCACCGCTGTCGTTGGTGCTGGTGTTGGTAATGCTGGTGCCGTTGGGATAACGTTGAAATGTGCCGCCTTGTTGCACGTTGGCACCTGTGTCTTTGGCATCACCATCATTGTCATCAGTGTCGTCGGCGGCGTTGTCGTTGTCGAGGGTTGTTGATGGCGGTGTGGGTGCGAGGAACTCGGCTTCGGCAGTTGGAGTAGATGCCGTGGAAGAGGAGGTTGAAGCCGTTGAGGAAGCCGAGGACGGCAGGGAGCCAGCAACGGCAGGCTTGGTGTTGGTGTTGGCGTTGGTGCTGGTGGTGGTGGTGGTGTTGGTGTTGGTGTTGGTGTTGGTGTTGGTGTTGGTGCTGGTGCTGGTGCTGGTGCTGGTGGTGCTAGTGCTGCTGCTACTGCTGGTGCGTCGGGAAAGTGGTCCGCCGCGTCCCGTTGCGGTGGTAGTGGAATCTGTTGGTCGAGTCAAGGGCACATTTGGAGAAGAGGATGTGGATGTTGCTGGGCTGGAGCTTGTGGATGCGTGCTGTTGCAAGTACTGCTTGTGCACAGCCACTGCAGCTACAACTGGTACTGTTGTCGCTGTTGATGACGGCGGAGGTGGTGTCGGATTGGTGGATGATGCACGCCTGAGCCATGGCGGCCTTGCCCTTGTCTGGCTGGCCATGACTGATGTGTGTGTGTGTGTGTGTGTGTGTGTGTGTGTGTGGAAGGTGTGATGCGGGCGAACGTGGTGTGTGTGCAAAAGTGGTGTGAATGAGAGTGAGAAGGAGTGGTGCGAGGTGATGTCAATGAAGGAGAAGGTCGTTCGGTCGGTCGCCTGGGGCTCGTGTGTGCTGTGTTCAGGAGCAGAGAAGCCTCGTTGCTGTGTTTCTTCCTCACCTGCTCGCGGCTGCGTTGCTTGTGACCTCTTGAGTCGTCTTGGTGGCGGTGGTTGTGTGTTGTGTGCGTGCGTGTGCGGCGATCGTTCGTCTTCCTCCTTGTGCTTGTGCTCACAATTTGCAAAACCCAACTTGTGGGCAATTTGCAAACGGGTACTGGTTCTCAATTGGAGGTTTACCATCATTTCGGAGCATCAGCAAGAAATCACAGATGTCAGCACTGTGCAGCTGCCAAAACAAGTTTGACGTGTTTATTCTTGTGAACCGCCCATTGTTGAATGTCTTCCTTGAAATTTCTGCGAGGCGGGCTTGCATCGGCGCACTGCCAGTGGCTGTGTGCTTTGTGTTTTTTCTTGTTCGCGCTCCTGCTGCTGCTTGTTGTTGTGTGTGCGCTCCCCATTCACGTTTGCTCCTGCCTGTCCTCCCAGCCAGCCAGCCGCGAGACAGCAAACTTGCAAAAAGCCACGCACAGCCAACCAACGCACAGCCAACGCACAGCCAACGCAACGCAAAGAAGGCGCTCACCGATCGACTGATTCACCGCAAACAAGCAAACAACAGCGCCATGCCGCCAAGGTTTTGATCGCTGCTCACATGTGTGTGGGTGTGTGTGTGTGTTGTTTTGATCGTTTGTGTTTTTGGTGTTGTGTGTTTTTGCTGGTGTTGTGTGCGCACGGCCTGCGTTGTGTTGGTGTTGTGTTGTGTCAACAGCTGAAGTGAAAGTGTGACATGAGACCTCACCCCAAAAACATGGCATCTCCCTCTGTTTGCAGACGCAGCCGCCGTCAGGCTGCCCGCGCGGCCGAGGATGCCAGCGGCAACGACAACAACGACGCCACAGCCACCGCAGCCGCTGAAGAGACAACCCAGCAAGAGCAGGACCAGCAGCCCGTGAAGCGATCCAAGCGCCAGTCGGCCCGTCGCAAGGCTGCGGAGGAAGCCGCCGCCAAGAAGAAGGCCGCCAAGGAAGAGGAGGAGGCCAGGCTGCAGAAGAAGCAGGCCCAACAGGCCGCCGTCAAGGCCAAGAAGGGCAAGAAGACAGCAGCCAGTGCAGCTGGCGCAGCGAAGAAGAAGGGCAGTCGTCGTGGCAAGCGCCGCAAGCAAGACGAAGAAGAAGATGATGATGACGACGGTGACGACGGTGACGATGACGATGAGCAGGAAGAGGAGGAGGAGGAAGCTGATGACGATGAGCAGGAAGAGGAGGAAGCGGCTGCAGTCGAGGATGAAGCTGGCACTGCCATGGAAGAGGCAGCAGACGCGCCTGACACTGCTGCAGCTGCGAAGACCACCGCCAGTGCAAGCGCCAATGCCAGCAAGGCTGCCAAGGCCCCCGCTGCGAAGCGAGCGCGGCGCACAAAGGCAGAAGCAGCCGAGGGCGGCAAGAAGAAAGTGACGCGCAAGAAGAAGGAGCCGGCAGCAGCAGCAGCGACGTCAGCTGGTAAGCCAAAGCGCATGACGAAGAAGCAGAAGCTGATGGCTGCGCTGGCGGAGAAGGCGGAGGCCATCGCCAACAGCGTGCAGGAGGTGGTTGAGGAGGACCTGGACATGTTTGTGCCGCCGCACGAGTTTGAGCTGTCCGTGCCCGAGGACAAGCCGCTGGTGTGCGCGCGCAGGGAGATGGAGGTGCAGTACGAGGAGCAGTTGAAGCGGGACCGGGCGGCGCAGGCTGCCAACAACCCCAACCCAGACATGAGCGGATCCTCTTCTGCCGCCGTGGCCAAGGTGCAGAGCAGCATCAGCAACAAGGACCTGCAGGCCGGCATTAACATGCTTTCGTCCTCTTCCCTCTTCCGCTCCTACGTTGACCTCGACGACACGCGCGTCGTACGCACTCGCGCACTGTCCAAGACGGTTGAGGAGAGCACACCCTCCTTTGGCAGCGGCGTCGTCTTCACCGGCCCAGACACCATCAAGTTTGATCCCAAAGCCGGACGCTCCTTTGGCGTGAGTAGCTGGCGGCTGTGCGTCTCTGTGTGTGTGTGTGTGTGTGTGTGCGCGCGTCTGTGTGTGTGGTCTTGTTTGTGTGTTCTTATGTTCTTGCGTGCATGTGTGTGTGTGTTTGTGTGTTCGCTTGGTTGGCTGTGTTGCTGTGTGCACGTGCGTTATTGTGCAAACGCTTTGCATTCTCCATCTTATTCGCTTTCTCCAACCTCGCCTTCTGCCCGCTTTTCTCACACAACACACCACGACACATACGCACAGGTGCAAGTTGCCGGTGCAACCGCCAAGCACGGGAGCGTGGCACGTTCCAAGCGCAAGATCACGGTATCTGCCACGGACGTGGACAAGGCGTTTGCCATGACCGAGGAAGAAGCTCTCTCCCACTTTGCCATTGGCTTTTGCGGCAACCACCACACCGTCGCCCCCAACACCCAGAGCACACACTTTGTCGTGCAGGGCAACTGGTGGCTGATCAAGGCTGGCGGTGTTGCGCAGGCCGCCGCAGTCTCCACTGATGCGTACGGCGACGACGAGGGGTTTGACGACACGCGCTACGCCGCCGGGGGTGCGCTGGTGTGCCCGGCGCTGTCGAAGCTCAAGGCGGGCGACTACGTGGAGGTGGCCGCGCAGCCGCACCCGAAGGAGAAGGGCGTGCAGCTGATCGTGCTGCGCATCAACGGCCAGGAGCAGACGCTCTACGACAAGAAGCCAGAGCCCGAGGCCAAGGCCAAGCCCGCGCTGTCACGCAAGGGCAGCAAGAAGCTGACCAAGCGCAAGAGCACGCGCCGCAGCCTCAACGCCACTGCCACTACCACCACCACTGCTGCTGCTGCTGCCGCAGCCGACAAGGAGGACAAGGATGAGGAGACCAAGCCCATTGCCGTGCCCACGACGCAGAAGCTGTATGGCGTGATTGTGGCGCCGCGCGACACGTCGCTCGCCCTGCACGTGCACGGCATGTCCGGGTACCACGAGTCGCAGGCCAGCCTGCAGCTGCTCAAGGAGCACTGGCAGCTGCTCCAGCAGTGGGGCGCGTGCGGGCCCGTTGTGGCGGGGCGCCTGGTCACCAAGACGGTGGCTGAGGAGGACCACCTCTTGTTGCGCTTCCTCATGGACAACGGCCGCAACTTCCTTCCGGGCCGCGCGCCGGACTGGAGCGCGGACTGCTTCAGCAACGCGGAGGAGTGGGCCATGATTGGAAACGACGCCAAGTCGCTGTTCCTGATTGGCCGCGCGCCGCAGTACGGCTGGGCAGACGTGCCGGACAACGACATTGCCGCGCGCACGGGCACGGGCAACGTGTCCTCGCACACGTACGCGCACCGCGTGGGCAAGGTTGGCGTGGCGCGCGGCGGCAAGGAGGGCGACTCTGCCTTTATCCAGGAGAGCAACCTGCGCGAGTACGAGTATCACCAGCCGTACGGATACGGGTTTGGCATGGCCATGCTCGCCGCCGCCCGCTCCCGCGACGTGTCGGACGACACGCTCAAGTACGTGCTGTCCGGCGCCTCGCACCAGTCCATCTCCACCAGCAACCTGGTGTACGCCGCGGCGGAGGCCGGCAACGTGCGCACGGTGCAGCAGGCGCTGCAGGCGCTGTCCAAGGACACGAGCAGCGGCATGACGGAGACGTACATGGTGGCGGCGGACAGCTCGCTGCCCATCAAGTCCACGCTGCAGGCGCGCTCGCTGCTGAAGAAGGGCGGCAGCATCTCCGCTGTGACGCCGCTGCACGTGGCCAGCGCATGCACCAGCGCCGCGCGCTTCAAGAAGCTGCTGCAGATCAACAGCCTCAACTACAGCGTGCACGACGACTACGCGCGCACGCTGCTGCACTTTGCCGCGGCCAACGAGGACGAGGGCGTGGCGGAGTTTCTGCTGTCGCTCGGGGAGAGCCCCGTGGTGACGGACAAGCAGCTGGCCACGCCGCTGCACCTGGCCGCCAAGCACGGCCGCCCCAAGACGGCGGTGCTGCTGCTGGAGGCCGCCCGCAAGCGCTTTGGCGCCCAGCTCACCGCGCTCACGGGCCAAGCGGAGCAGGGCGATGGTGGGGAAGGAGAAGAGGAGGAGGAGGAGACGCCTGCGATGAAGCGGAAGAAGGCGGCCATGCTGAAGAAGCTCAAGGTGGCCGGGCTGGCCAAGGACAAGCTGGGCCTGACGCCGCTGCACCACGCCGCGTACGAGGGCCACGTGGACGTGCTTCAGGCGCTGCACGAGTTTGACCCGGAGCTGGACATGGACCTGGGCGACCGCAACAAGCGCACGCCGCTCATGATCGCCGCCATGCAGGGCAACGTGGACGTGATGGAGGCCCTGGTGGAGATGGGGGCGCACGTCGAGGCGCAGGACAAGCGCAAGTACACGGCCCTGCACCACGCGTGCAAGAACGGGCAGTTTGACGCGGTGCAGATGCTGCTGCGGGCGGGCCACAACCCGGACGCCCGCGACTCGAGCGGCAACACCCCCGCACACTACGCCTCCGCCTACGACTGGGTGAAGGTCCTGCAGCTGCTCAAGCGCTACGGCGCAGACCTGTCCTCCGCCAACGACTGGAAGACGACGCCGCTGTCCATTGCGGTGGCCAAGTCGTGCATCACCTGCCTGCTGTACCTGCTGCAGCAGCCCGGGGTGGCCATTGACGCGCGCGACAACGAGGGCCGCACGCTGCTGCACCACGCCTGCAGCCAGGCCGGCCCAAGCAACCTGCGCATTGTGGAGCACCTGCTGAAGCAGGGCGCGGACGCGTGCGCGCAGGACCTGGCCGGGGTCACGCCGCTGCTGCTGGTGGTGCGGGCAAACGGCACCAAGCAGAAGGAGATGGTGGAGCTGCTGCTCAAGGGCGGCGCGCACCCGGACGCAGCGAGCAAGGACGGCAGCTCGCCGCTCTCCGTGGCGCTGGCCAACAGCCGGGCCAACCTGCTGGTGGCCATGCTCTCCAGCGGGCACTCCTTTGGCAAGGCGCAGGTGGAGGCATCGGCAGAGTCGTTCCTGCACAAGCTGGTCGGGCTGGCCAAGCAGCGCGACATTGCCGAGCTGTGGAACCTGGTGATGCAGCAGGACGACAGCGCGTCGGTGGCGGCGCTGCTGAACCACCGGCGCCACAGCAACGGGCGCACGCCGCTCATTGACCTCCTCCTCGCCGCAAACCAGCACCCGTCCAGCGCATCGCTGTTTGGCAACGCGGAGGCCACCAGCAACGCCAGCAGCATGAACTCCAGCAGCAGGTTTGGGTACAGGCGCAGGTACAACGCGTATGGCTCGCAGCCAAGCACGTCCACAGAGTCGACGGCTGCCAGCCTGCACAAGGTGGTGGAGCTGGTGGCGGCCGCGCTCAAGGCCGGGTGCGATCCCAACGTCCCCGTGCGCATGCTGTTCAAGGAGAAGACGGAGGGGGAGGGCGGAGAGCAGCAGGAGGTGGCGCACACCGTTGACAGCGACGACGACGACAACTACGATTCTGACATGTCCGCCTCTGACATGGACTCGGATGAGGACGAGGACAGCAACGACGACAACGACGACGCTGATAAGGGTGGAGCGCAGCAGCAGGTGGATGGCATGAACGGCACGAGCGGTGGCAGCAGCGGCAACGGCGTGGATGTCATTGCCCTCAACGACGACGACAACGAAGAGGAGCGTGGTGGCGACATGGACCAGACGGCCGACAAAGAGGATGGTGATGAGGATGGCGAGGAGGAGGATGACGAGGGTGAGGATGGGGATGGCCAGAAGAGCGGCAAGAAGCAGCACAAGAAGAAGAAGAAGAAGAAGAACATGGTGGTGCCGAGCCACGGGACGGAGCTGACGGTGGCTGCGGGCGACTATGCCAAGCACGCCAAGCGGCTTGGGGAGAGCGAGAAGAAGCCGTTTAAGATTGAGAAGGAGCTGGACAACGTGCTTGGCGGCTGCACGGCGCTGCACGTGGCGTGCCGCGTCAACAACCCGCAGCCGCTGGTGGACGTGCTGCTCGAGCACGGCGCGGACACCAACGCGCGGGACCGGCTGGGCCAGACGCCGCTCATGTACGCCGTTGTTGCGGGCATCCCGAGCGTGGTGGAGCGCATGCTGCTGCACGGCGCCGACCCGGCCATCGTCTCCGCCCGCAGCGGGCAGACGGCGCTGCACATGGCTGTGCACCAGTGCCTGCAGGCACAGGCGGCAGCGAAGAAGGCGCGCGCGGCTGTGCTGCAGCTGCTGCTCAAGCACAAGGCGGACACGGGCGCGATGAACAAGTTTGGTGACCTGGTGCTGTGCTCTGCGGTGAAGAGCACGCAGGACCGCACGGTTGCGGACGCGCTGCTCAAGGCCGGAGCGGACGCGTGCCAGCTTGACGGGCACGGCACCGCGGCCTTGCACTACGTGGCGCGCATGAACGACCTGGCGCTGCTGCAGCGGCTGCTGGAGGCTGGCGTTGACCCGGACCTGCGCTCGTCCAAGGGCAACACCCCGCTGCACGGCGTGATTATGGCGGATGGTGGGGACCGCTCCAAGGTGCTGGTGCAGATGCTGCTGGACAAGGGCGCAGATCCAAACGCACAGAACAACGACGGCGTCTTCCCGCTCTTCCGCGCCGTCACAAACTCGGCAACAAGGACATACCGCAACTTTGAGGTGCTGTGCTGTTGTGTGTGTGTGTGTGTGGTGTGTGTGCTGTTGTGTGTGTTTGCATGTGTGTTTGTGTGTGTGTGTGTGTGTGTGTGTGTGCGCGCGCGCGTTTGAGGGGATACACGCGGCACTCATCATCTCACATTACCCGTGCCAACGCTTAATATCTCCAACTGCGCCACCTCCGTAATTCCCTCCCCCCCCTTTCGCGTGCCTCCAACAAACAGATGGAGCAGCTGCTGATTGACCGAGGCGCCGACGTGCACGCGTGCACGGCACTTGGCCGCAACATCTTGCATGCCGCCGTCGTGACGGAAGACAAGCCCGAGCGGCTGGATAAGGCGCGCACCCCCGCCGACCCCATTGAGATTGTCTCGGACATCTGCTCCCTCGAGAGTAAGATGATGTTGATAGTGTGTGCGCGCGCGTGTGTGCGTGTGTGTTTGCTTGGGCTGATGTGTGTGTTGGTGTGTTTTGTGTGTGTTGTTTGTTGGTGTGTTTTGTGTGTGTGTGTGTTGGTGTGTCTTGTGTGTTGGTGTGTGTTGGTGTGTGTTGGTGTGTGTGTGTGTGCGTGTGTGTGTGTTCTTGTGTTTTGTGTGTGTTTTGCTTGTTAATGCATTTGCTTGGCTGTGTGTGTGTGCCTTGCCTTCTTTGTACTTCTCTGCCCCCACACGAACCTCACCGCCCCCCACCCATGCTCAAACTCCACCCCCCCCCCCCAAACCACCTTGCCGCCAGCGCTTGATCTTGATGTTGCTGACACGTACGGGCGCACGCCGCTGCACTACGCGTCGCTGTACGGTGCCATCCTCAGCGCCCGCTACCTCATCAAGCGTGGTGCAGACCCAAACAAGGTGTGCGTACGTGCGTGCATGTGTGTTTGTGTCTCTTTGGGGCAGCCAGAGGGGGTTTCTAAGTGACTTCAACATGCGCTCACGCACACACACACACACATGCATGCACACGCACGCACGCGCGCACACGCGCGCACATGCTTACACGTACACACACACACACACACACACACACACACACACACACACACACACACACACACACACACACACACACACACACACACACACACAAACGAACAAACGAACAAACGGCAGGAGGACCAAGACGGCAACACGGCGCTGCAGCTGGCGCTGATTGGGCACCAGGTCAACTACGCGGCGCTGCTGCTGGACCACGTGCGCGACCTGAAGCACGCCATTGTGTTCACCGTCCTGCAGCACGACAAGGAGAAGGACAAGCAGGTGGAGGTGGTGCGCACCACGTCCACGTTCCGCTTCCTCGCCTCACACCACTTCACGGGCCTGGCGTGCGTGTTCATTGACCACGGCGTGGATGTGCTGTCGGCCTTTGACGACTGCGTGTCTGTCGGCGAATACCAGATGGCCATGACGCTGCTGCGCAAGACGCCGTCCACCCGCGTCAAGGCCCTGCGCGACAGCGAGAACAACACGCTCGTCACGTTTGTGTGCAGGCACATCTCGCAGAACAAGCTGTTCCAGGACAAGTTCTGCGCGCTGATGATGCGCACGCTCACCAACGAGTACGCCTTCCGCAAGGACACGGTCAACGTGCGCGGCGAAACGCACCTGCACCAGGCCTGCTGGAGCGGCGCCTACCCTGCATTTGATGCTGTCGTGAGCGCCTGCGACGTCAAGGCCACGCGCAAGGACGGGTTTGATGCGCTCACGCTGGCGCTGATTGGGCACGCCAACGCCGCCCACCGCATGCGCATGGTGCGCATGCTCCTCAAGCGAGGCGCAGACCCAAACTACTACGACACGCTCCGCGCGTGCGTGCAGGACTCGGAGTGGCTCAAGGACGACGAGCGGGTGGCCAAGTTCATGGCCAAGCCGCTGCTGCTGGCCCTGCTGGAGCCATGCCTCGAGACCCTCAAGCACCACCCGCCGCCAAAGGCAACATCGACGCTGCTGTCTCCGCGCGGGCTGGGCCTGGGCCGCTCTCCCAATGGCAGCCGCATGGGCGGTGTTGCCAACGCGCAGCCACTCACCATCACGGGGGACAAGGCCATTGACGAGTGGCTGACAGACTCGTTCCCGCGCACGGGCACCGTGACGCCGCAGCAGGTGCGGGCAGGCACGGCCGCGCTGCTGCTGCGCTCTGGCCTGAGCTGGCACCACGCCACGAAGCAGGGCGCAACGCTGGCCGAACTGCTGGTGGTGCAGAACAGGAAGGACGCGCTGGAGCGGCTGCTTGCGCTCGGCGCCGTCGTGAACAACCCACTGGACCTCAACCACCGCCTGCCACACAAGGGCCAGACGGTGCTGGCCCGCTGCTTCACGCACCAGAGCAACGCGTTTGCCTTTGTCAACTGCGACGACATGCTCGACTTTTTGCTGGAGAAGGGTGCGGATGTGAACCAGCTGGACGATGACGGGTGTTCCCCGCTCTGGCACGCATACGCCATCGCCGACACCGCCACCATAGGTGCGTCTTGTCTGTGTGTGTGTGTGTGTTTGTTTGTGTTTGTGTTTGTGTTTGTGTTTGTGTTTGCGTGTGCGTGTGCGTGTGCGTGTGCGTGTGCGTGTGCGTGCGTGTGTGTGTGTGTGTGTGTGTGTGTGTGTGTGTGTGTGTGTGTGTGTGTGTGTGTGTGTGTGTGTGTGTGTGAGGGAGGGAGGCGGGGGCGGGTACATCTCTGTGTATGCGCGCGCAAACCCACACACACACACACACGCTCACACGCTCACACTCACCTGTACTTCCCTTGCTCCATGTTGCTTGACCAGCCCGCATGGAGAGCAAGCTGCATGCAACACTGACGCCTGCGCAGAAGCCGCCGCGCCCGGCACACGAGCGCTTCACCACCATCGACATTCCAGGCATTGACGTGCAGCCACAGACGGATGCAACGGTGGGTTGTGCGGCGGTAGTCGTGGTGGGGTGGTGCTGGGCGTCTCAACTTGAGTCTATGATGCACATTGCACCATGCATGCCTTTTGGTTTCTCATCATCACGCACTTGTGCGCCAATGCACACACACATACACATGCACACACACATGCGCACACACACATGAACGTGCGTACGTGACAGGCTGGTCTGCACGACATTGAGGAGCTGCTTGAGAAGAAGAAGCAGGAGGAAGGCAAGCCACCGGGCCCGCTGGTGGACGAGGCGACAAAGCTGACCAAGGTGGCGCGCGTGGTCAAGATGGACGACTGCGACGACTACTATGACCTCACCATGACCATCACTGACGTCTCCTACGGATACTGGGGCCGCCACGACTTCTGTGCGTTGGTTGTGTGTATATGTGTGTTTGTGTGTGTGTGTGTGTGTGAGTGTGTGTGCTTGTGTAAATGAGTGTGTGTGTATGTGACTTGTGTTTCTGGCACCCCCACCTCTTCCCCTTCCTGACGCTCCACTCTCTCCCCCCCCCCCCCCATTTTGAATCTTGCAGACCGCATGCAAGTGCTGCACAACTTTGTGCACGACATGTACGTGTTGTCGACGCGCTGGGGCCGTGTTGGCGAGGAAGGCATGCACCAGGTCACCCCGTACCCGACAAAGGAGGCTGCAATCGCAGAGTTCTGCAAGGTGTGTGTTTGCGATGACCCATCCACCTCTCCCGATCCCTCGTCAAAACACACACACACACACAACACACACACACACACAACACACACAACACAACACACACACACACACACACGCACGTTCGCAGATCTTCAAGAGCAAGTCCGCGAACCTGTGGGAGAACCGGCACGGCTTTGAGCCCAAGCCGGGCAAGTACCGGCTGCAGAAGCACGACCACGCCACCATTGCCCGCCGCCAGGAGATGGCCATGCAGGTCATTAAGTTTGAGAAGGTGCCCTCCTCAGACAGGCTCCCTCCCAGGTTGGTACTTTGCTACTTTGCTCTGTGTGTGTGTGTGTGTGTGTGTGTGTGTGTGTGTGTGTGTGTGTGTGTTGTCTGATAGCTGCCGCAACATCGTCCTCCCCCCCCCCACCGTGACAACTCCATCTCACTCTCCTCCCCACCTCCTCCTCCCCACCTCCCCTGCAGCGTGGATGTGTTCGTGCGCACGACGGCGGACGTGAAGACGCTGCAGCGGGCGATTGTGACCGACTGCGATTTTGACCTTGCCTTTGGCGGCGCGCCGGCCGGGGCAATGGAGAAGGCTGTCGGGCTCATCAAGCAGTTGAAGGACCTGACGAAGAAGCTCGAGGGCATGTCGTGGGGCGACGAGGGCCGCGATGCGCTCAACACACAGGTGCAACAGCTGACAAACGAGTTCTACCAGACCATCCCCATCAACGCCGTCAAGCACCGCGTGCAGCAGCTCAAGCACAAGAAGGTGCTTGAGATTGAGGAGAAGCTCAACACCATCTCGGTGGAGAACGTAACGGCCAACCTCCTGCTCGGCGCATACCACCGCCACCATGCCATGAGCCTCAACCCCTTTGAGTACGTATACCTGGCCACGGGCGCGCGCCTGGCTGCCGTCCCTGCAGACTCGTCCACGTACAAGGCCATCCGCATGTTCATGAACACGACGCGGGAGCACTCGAGCGCCGGCGGCGTGGGCATTGCGCAGGTGTTTGAGATCTCCAAACCGGACGAAGACGCCGCCTTCAAGAACAAGTTTGGCTCCGACCCCACACGCACCTTGCTCTGGCACGGCACCAAGAACCAGAACGTCCTCGGCATCCTCTCCCAAGGTGTGTGTATGTGTGCGTGTGTGCTAATGAGTGCGTGCGTGTGTGTGTGTGCGCTCGCGTGTGTGCGCGCGTATGAGAGACAGATTGTGTACTCGCGTGATTGTATGTTTGTGTGTGATTCCTTTGTCGTTGTACGAATTCTTATTCAGGATGTTTGCATGTGGTTTTGCCTCTGTTTCTCCCTCCATCCCCTGCCCCTACGCCCCAACCACACACACACGCACACACATCACATGCGCGCGTGCCAGGTCTGCGGTGCGCGCCACCGAGTGCGCAGGTGACTGGATACATGTTTGGCAAGGGCGTGTACTTTGCAGACTGCTTCTCCAAGAGCTACAACTACACCATGAACTATGGGGAGGGATCCGAGCTCGCCCGCCACCACTGCTGCATGTTCCTGGCCGAGGTGGGCATGGGCGTGTTGTTGTTGTTGTTCTCGTTCTTGTTGTTGTTGTTGTTGTTGTTGTTGTTGTTGTTGTTGTTGTTGTTGTTGTTGTTGTTGTTGTTGTTGTTGTTGTTGTTCTTGTTTTGGCATGTCGGTGTCTCTTGCCGTCGTTGTTGGAGCGTTTGTGATGATGTGGTTGGTCGAATCTACATCACCTTCATCCACTCTCATCACACACACACACACACACACACACACTGTCAGGTTGTGCTTGGCAACCCCGAGCGGCGGACAGAGGCCAAGTCTGAGCCGCCGGCTGCTGGATACGACAGCATCCACGGTCTCGGCAGCAGCGTCCCGTCCCGCGTACGCTCCTGCTCCTGCGCTCTGCTTTTGTGCGTGTGTGTCGTGTGCGCGCGCGCGTGTGTGTGTGTTTGCACAGCTGCACCTCACCTTCTGCAAACACGCACCTGCATGTGCGGATGTATTCAGTCGATGGTTGGACTTGAGGACGATGTTCGCATTCCTCTCGGTCCTCTCAAGGAAGCCCCCATCGCCGGCTCACACCTCGCGTAAGGATTGTGTGTTTGTGTGTGTGTGTGTGTGTGTGTGTGTGTGTGTGTGTGTGTGTGTGTGTGTGTGATGCGAGCACTGACGATGTTGCGTGTCACATCCGCCGATTTCCACCTGCAATCACACCCTCACACCTGCAATCACACCCTCACGTCCCGCCCTCCACTCCCCCCCCCAACGTCTTGCTTTCCCCTTCAGGTACAATGAGTTTATCCTGTACGATTCCGCGCGCATCCGCCTGCGGTACATGGTGCTGCTGCGCGACATGGACTGGCTCAAGCAGCGGCGCAAGCGCTGGCTGGTGGCCAACAAGGTCATCCCCACCATCACGGACCCGGACCCGGAGCCCAACGCCGTGCTGGAGGGCGACGACATGTGGAAGTACTATCCGGAGCAGACCACCGTCTGAGATGGGTGGTCCACGCAGCCAGCCCATCGTGCGCATGCCAGCACGACCCCCCCCCTCCCCGCTCATGCTCGTGCACCGTGTTGTGTGTTGTGTTGTGTGTTGAGTGTTGTCTCGTCGCTCTCTTCCTCCGGCCACCTCTCGCTGTGTTGTTGTTTTTGTTCTTGCGAGCTTGTTTTCGTGCTTGCTTACCCATCCCACTGTGCATTCCATCTCATAGACTGCACTTTGGTTGGACGGCACCACTTGCTTGTTGCTTGTCATTGTTCTTGTTCCCCTGCCTGTGTTCTTCTTGTCTCTTCCTTGCTTCCTTTTTACGACTTGCTTCTCTGCGTTGCTTCCCTACTTGCTTGCTTTCCTTGTTCGTTTCCGTTTGGCTGAACCACACCCCTGTGTTACCCCGCCTGCGTGCTTACCTGTCTGCACCCTTACAAGCGCTGTTCAAACGTGTGACGGAGGCAGGGGGAGGGGGAGCGGGGCAAGACAGACAGAGACAGAGACAGACAAACAGACAGACAGAGAGGGAGCTCCACAACCACATCCACAATCGTCACGCCTGCCAACAAATCCTGACGTCATCCCCAACCCCCAATCGCATTCCACACACACACACATCCACAATAACTTGTGGGGTGCTTGTGTTCATTGACGTGACAACCTCGAAGAGAGAGAGAGGCAGCGAAGCAAGGACGGACGGGTAGTAGGGGAGCAGGATGGCAATGACGCTCGAGGATGTTGGCGATGGAGCGGGTCCTGATCGCGGCAGTGGCGGCAATGGTCGGACACGGCGGCGCTACTCCCCAGGCAGCAGCCCGGTGCGTTGTGCCGTGTTGGGCCTGGATCGCAGCAGCGATCGCATTGTCTGTTTTGTATTGTGTGCGTGCGTGCGTGCGTGCGTGCGTGCGTGCGTGCGTGCGTGTGTGTGTGTGTTTGTCAATGTGTGTGTGTGTGTGTGTTTGTCAATGTGTGTGTGTGTGTGTGCGTGTGACACAGCTCTCGCTCTTGTTGAATGCATGCGCCCGCTGCTGTTTCACTTCTTTGAGTGCGATCGCGCTGTCTGCTGCAACTGCCCGCAAGTGAGCAAACAAACAAGCACAGTGGCCTTCAACTCCACCTCTCACTTCACGTCTCACCTCACGCATCCACCTCACGCATCCACGCCACGTCTTCCCCCTCTCTCCCAAATTCACATCCCCTCTAGCGCACGCCGAGGAGAACAATCAACTTCCAGTCTGTGCAAGTCTCGCCGCCAGGATCAACGCTGGTGACAGAGTCGGTGGTCGACGACGCAGACCACGACGGCCGGGCCAGCCGAGACCATGGAGACAGTCACCGCCCTAATCGCCGACGAACCACACACCGCAACCACAGCAGTGACGACGAGAGCGACACAGACAGCGACACCAGCATTGACCGACCGCCAAGCACGCACCTGCCAATGTCGCCAAGCCGAGCGCGAACACCCGTGCAGGCGCTCAAGCCGATCGGTTCGCTGATGACACCGCTCAACCCCACCAGCGACACAACCACGTCTGCTGCACCTTCGACTATTCGGTCGCCTGCGTCCAGAACAAGCACAAAGCAGCGCGCTGCCTTCTCCTCTTCCTCCTCCTCCTCTTCCTCTACTGCTAAGGTCACGCGCATCAGCGACACCGTGCTGGGAAACAACCTGATGGAGTTTGATATGGAGGGTGGGCAGCGCAGACAGCAGCCGGCCCAGCCCGCGTGCATCGCCGAATGCAAACCCTGGCACGCGCTTGTGGCGTTCCTGCTGCTGCTGCTTGCCGTGTGCGGCACCGTCGTCCCCGTCATGCTGTATTCGAGCGGCGGCAGCGACGGCGGATCAGGTGGCGACAGCAGCGGCAGCAGCGGCGGGTCAAACACCCCCTCGCCACCGCCACCATCCCCTCCCATGTTCGCCACCAACCTCACCTGGAGCACAGCCATTGCCTTTGCCGTCGAGCTTCGCCCTGCATCGGCCAACACCACCGCCGCCTCCATCGTCCTGCCAGCAAGTGCGGGCAGCGCAGCCATCGTCGTGGGCTCCACCACAGGCGTGATCGGCGCTGGCGCCGGTCCAAGTGCGGGGGGCAGCGACGCGTTTGCGTGCCGCATATCCACAGGCAGTGGTGCTGTGCAGTGGTGCGTGCAGTTTGGGTCAGCAGGCGACGATGACGCGCGTGCAGTCGCAGCAACCGCGGACGGGTTGCTCGTCTATGTTGGGGGCGTTGCCGGTGGCAGCATGCTCGGCAAGGCAGGCTCGGGCGAGGCAGACCTCTTTGTCGTGTGCCTGCAGGGAAGCGACGGCGCCGTCAGCTGGACACGCCTCATCGGCACATCGCGCGCTGATGCGTTTGGCGGACTCGTGCTGGACCGCGATGGCGACGTGTTCATCACAGGCCACCTCTCCTCCACCCAGGGCTCGCCCACCAGCACGACCACGGACGAGCTGTATGTGGCGCGGCTGGCGGGTGGCACGGGCATGGTGCAGTGGCAAACACGCATCGGGTCGTCCGGCGACACGCACGGCCGGGCTATTGCCGTGGACGCGAGCAGTGGCAACATCTACATCACGGGCGACACAACAGCGGTCACAGCATTCAACGACGACGATGGCTCTACGTCGCTCACGGATGCGTTTGTTGTCTGTCTCAAGGGCTTTGACGGTTCTGTTGTGTGGCGACGGCAAATCGACACGGGGGACCAGGACATTGGGCACGCGGTTGCTGTTGGGGAGCAAGGCCTGCTCTACGTGACAGGGGAGACAGCCGGTGTGGCAGCGGCAGCGGAAGATGCCACGGCGCAAACAGATGTGTTGGTGCTGTGTCTGAGAACAACAGACGGGCGCGTGCTATGGACAACGCAGCTTGGCTCATCTTCTGGCCGCGATGTGGGTTATTCCGCCGCCGTTGACGGGAATGGTCTGGTGTACATTGGTGGGAGAGCTGGTGGCGATGTAACGCGCGTGGTTGATTCATCCACCCTCGATGATGGTGATGATGATGATGGTGGTGGTGGTGGTGGTGGTGGTGGTGATGCTACAGGTGGGAGTGGTGATGTTGCGAGCAATGGCGGTCATGGTTTCGTGGCGCGCGTGAGTGGTGACAGTGGGCAGTTTCTCGGGAGCAAGAAGGTGCTGGAGGCACACGGCAGCAGTGCTGCCTATGGCGTTGCTGTGAGCAGTGATGGGTTCTTGTTTGTTGTCGGCCAGGCCGACACCACATCATCATCCTCAACAGCTGCATTCATGCTTTCCCTACAACAGACGTAATATGCGTGCGCGTGTGTATGTGTGTGTGTGTGTGTGTGTGTGTGTGTGTGTGTGTGTGTGTGTGTGTGTGTGTGTGCGAGCGCGCGCGCGCCACAGACATGGCCTCCTGTCAATGCCGGGTCATTACAAGTATACGGTTGTTTTCATGAGGAGTGGCAGATGTCATCTGGTTGATTAAACCTCCATGACAGCCTCAAAAACGAAAAGGCCAGATACGAGACAGGAGCATGGAGCACAAGCAGATTGACATACAATCGGGCAGAGGTACAAACACCACATCAACACAGCAAGGGGCGTGATAGCTGAAGGCAGGCGGACACGCAAACGAACAGCAAGCAACGGACAGGTGTATGTAAAGAGGTACAAAGAAGTGGAACAAAACAGACGGGGCAGGCAGGCGCAAGCAGGGATTGGGTGGCAGATGGCTTCACTTGTTCGGATCAGTTGAAGCGCCAGTTCAAACAACGAGACGACATGAACAGTTCACAGGTGCTGGCGGTAGTGGCCGTATGCAAGGGCAGCGCCAGACACCAGACACAGCAGCAGCACGGCAGTGGTTCTGTTGCTGGTGGCCAGGGCATCGCGTGTGCTCTGCAGTTGCTGAGTGGTCTGGCGCAGCTGCCCTTCAAGCGCTGTGATCTCCTCCTCCTTCTGCTTCAGCAGTGGAGCGTTGTAGGTGTTCGTGGTGATCACGACTTTGACACGTGTGCATGTGTGCGTGTGCGTGCGTGTGTGTGTGTGTGTGTGTGTGTGTGTGTGTGTGTGTGTGTGTGTGTGTGTGTGTGTGTGTGTGTGTGTGTGTGTGTGTGTGTGTGTGTGCGTGCGTGTGTGCGTGTGCGTGCTTGCTTTGCATCGGACAAAGAGGTACATAGGTACATGGTCATCCAGGCGCACGTTATCACCGCCATACGTGATGGTGATGCTGCGGCGCGGATCAATAGCACGCGCGAGAGCGGCAGCGCCCGTCTCCCCAATCTCATTCCACCCGAGACTGCAATCGTCGATGCGGTGCATTGCGTTGATGAGGAGAGGCATCAAGGAGAATGTGGTGCATTGCATTGATGAGTTCGTTGTGAGGAGGCGTGAAAGAGAAACGGTCCTCAATTGAGTCGTGCGCATTCCATCTACAACACGAACAATCATCCCAATGCATACTGTGGTTCATCTGTCGACGCGCGCGCGCACGTGTGTGTGTGTGCGTGCGTGCGTGTGTGTGTGTGTGTAGCGGGTGGCCGTTGTACTCATATCCTTCTACTCACTCGAGATTGAGGAGGGTGGTGTTGCTCTTGAGCGCTTCAGCAATGGCGATGGCGCCATCGGGCCCAAGATGGTTCCGTGACAGGCTGCATGAGTACATTCACAGGTCGGGCGGTGTCAGCGTGTGGGCGGTAGAACCACCAGGCACGTGAGATGACAGAGACGTTGAAACAGGTATTGACAAAGTGATTTAGGCAGCTGTGGTCCAGCAGACACACACACACACACACATCAAAGGAAATACCTGAGGCGGGTGAGAGAGGTGTTCTTGAGAAGGGACTTGGCAATGGCCTTCACGCCGTCTGTGCCGATGTTGTTGTTGTACAGGCTGCTCAAGACCACAGAAACACAGGGGGTTGGTGAGGTGAGTGACAATCAGGGCTTCATTGTGAGCGGAGGGGATCCTGGGAGGGGCGCGCGTGGCATGACAAAGTCGAATGACATGAAATGATGCCATCAGGGATCGACTGCAACGATGCCATCCATGCCAGAACACTTACAACAAGGTGTGCAGCATTGTGTTGGACTCGAGCGCCGTTGCAATGGCGGCACAGCCATCAGGCCCAAGGTGGTTGTCACTCAAGCTGCAAAGAGGAGGTGTGGGTTTGCTTGAGTTTGGTCAAGGAATCAAAACAGAGCACGAGAGCAAAGGAACAAACAGGCTGGTGGGCTGCTATCGCAGCACAGGTAGTAAACACAGACATAGAACACACAGAGCACACGCACGCACACACACACACACACACAGAGAGAGAGAGAGAGAGAGAGAGAGCACAAGTACTACACACACACATACACACACATACACACACACACACACACAAAAAGCACAAGTTTGCGGAACCTGAGCTCGTGCAAAGTGTTGTTTCGCTTGAGTGCCTCTGCGATGGCACGGCCGCCAGCAGCCCGCAGATTGTTCCAGCCAAGGCTGGTGCGAATGCAAAGGAGGAAGAAAGGGAATATATGAGGTGATGCAAGTGTCCTCGTCTCGTACCGTTCCAGCAACACCATCAATCGTGCATAGAGATGGACCTACTTGAGCTTGAGCATGTTGGTGTTCTTCTTGAGAGCCTCTGCAATCACGCGAGCGCCAATCTCTTCCAGGTTGTGCCAGCTCAAACTGTGTGTGTGTGTGAAGGGGAGTTGTGTGTGAGTGTGGGAGGGGGGATGCGTTTGGAGGGATTAACACACAGAGAGAGAGAGAGAGAGAGAGAGAGAGAGAGAGAGAGAGTGTGTGTGTGTGTGTGTGTGTGTGTGTGTGTGTGTGTGTGTGTGTGTGTGTGTGTGTGTGTGTG